TGAGGCAATATCCAGCTGCCTATAGAAGGCCTCATCAACCTCCTCGTCTTGGTCAGGTGGCCTGTAGCAGACACCCACCACAGTGTCTCCCACATTAGCCTGCCCTCTAATCCTTACCCACAAGCTCTCAACTCGCTCATCCTCGACTCCCAGGTTGAGCTCCATGCATTCCAGTTGCTCTCTCACATAAAGAGCAACTCCACCACCTCGCCTTCCCAGCCTGTCCTTCCTAAAGAGCACATAGCCTTCCATGGCAGCGCTCCAGTCGTGCGAGCTATCCCACCACGTCTCTGTGATTCCAATGAGATCATGATGCTGGGACCGCACACAGATCTCCAGTTCATCCTGCTTATTCCCCATGCTTCGCGCATTGGTATACAGGCATGTACATGGTATACAGGCATGTACATGTAGGGATCAACCCTCAGACGCCATCCCACACGCTTGAACTTATGTGTATTTAAAGGCCAGCTAACAGTAAGAAAAAAATGCTGAAGTTTTGCCATGCTGACAGAGATGACAAAGCTGGAAATGAAGTCTTGATGTGGCTTGCACGTGTTCATTGCATTACTTGGGTTCCAGCTGTGTGGCATCCCTCAGCGGTCAATATTGAGTCCAGTCTTGTTCATCAGTGACCTGGATGAAGGGTCAGAGGGCACCTTCAGCAAACTGGCTGAAGATACAAAGCAGGGAGAAGTGGCTGATCAGCTGTGCTGCTGTTCAGAGGAACCTCAACAGGCTGCAGAGATGGGCACAGCAAAACCTCATGAAGTTCAGCAAAGAGAAGTGCAGAATCCTGAATGTAGGGAATAATAATCCCATGCAATAATACAGGCTGGGGGCTGACCTGCTGGAGGGCAGCCCTACAGAGAAGGTCCTGGGAGTCCTGGTGGACACCAGGTTGATCATGAGCCAGCAGTGCGCCCTTAGGACAAAGGCCCCAACCTTGAGTGCTGTGGCCAATTCTTGGCTTCTCAGTACGAGAGACTTGGATTTACTGTAGTGAGACCAGCAAAGGGCCACTGAGGTGATGAAGGGGCTAGAGCATCTTCCACCTAAGGAGAGGGGGAGGTCCCTCCAGAGGTCCCTTCCTACCTCAACCGTGCTGTGATGCTGTAACTCACAGCCCGGCACTAGGGTGTCATTTCACAACACAGCCTGGGCTAGAGGAAGAAACTGGAAGTCCCAGCTCATGTGGAGCTTGTTCCACGGAGCAGGCTGCCTCCGTGAAACCAAGAACAAGGCCAGAGACTTCATCGCTTTCCTCCTCGGCTTTCTCCCTGGTGCTGTTCCAGCTGACCCTTTTGTGACTCTTGAGGGGACTAGCTGATGTCCTCAGGAGTGCTTTGGCATCTAACTGCCGTGTGATGGTACATGGAGGCAGGTCTCTGGACCTTGAAGCTTCAGCATACAGCCTGATCTTAAAACAGCGACAAGCCACCAGGCTCCCTGGTACAGAGTTGGGAGCTGTGTTTTGTCAAAGGAAAAACTTTACATGAGCTTTATTAGATCAGAGGGCACATTTCATAGTTGGGGAGCCAAAAATGCTGCCTTCATTTGTAGTAAAAAAAAATGGGGGGAAATTCCAGAGCTGACAGGCCACCCTAAAAATAAAGAGAAGTAGCTCTTTTGCTAGAAGTCTGTGCAGCTTTTGCAATGGCATTAGCTCAAAATGGAAAGTGGAGAGGAATCTGCAGAGCCTGATGTTTAGAAAACCTTTGACAAAATTGCTTTGGCGCCAATTCTGTGGTGAGCTTTCCTGAAAAACTTGAAGTTTGAGGAGAAAGAATGTGTTTTTTGTTGAACTAACTGGCATAGTTGGAAGAAACAGCTGTGCTTTAAGGTGTGTGAGTACAGGCCCAGCAGTTGGCCTTTCCTTTTGCATCAGAGAGGCTGCCCAAGCAGAGTGAATACTGAAACCAAGTGGGAAGGGAAGAAGTAACTGGCAGCTGACTGTATTATGTGTTTCAGATGGGATTCACACGCTCACCTGTGCCCTGATGCTGCTAAACACAGATCTCCATGGCCATGTAAGTAGTACTTAAAAGATGCATCCTTCCTGCTTTCCTTCCCAATGTAGAGGTCTTTCCCCTTGTGCAGGATGTATTGCTGGAAAAACAAGATAGGTTGGAAGAAATATGTAACCTGGCTGAGAAGGAGCTGTTGGTGCTAGGCCTGGTCCTGGAGACAGATCTTCTCTTAGTGTCACTCCACATTCAAACCAAGGGCAAGTCTCCTGCTAACCTCACACTCTACAGGCACAGGCAGGTCTTCACGACCAGTCTCTGCAATGCAGGCAAACCACAGCACCAACTGTGCTGCTTCTTGTGGGGCAGACACCTGAGGCTCCCTCATCCCCAAGACTTCTGCAGTGCAGTCAGCAGTTTCATACAGGTCTGAGTTTGATATTTGCTTTCCACACCATGAAGCAAGTTGCAGCAGCAAGTCCTAACCAAGTCGTTATGCTCAGCCACTGGAGAGCATCACACAGAGAGCTTCTAGACAAAGAGAAGGGCGAGAAGAGCTCACTGCCAGAAGGGGAGCTTGAACACCAGCACAGGCTGTTAGGAGAGCTTCTATCGCATCTAAGAGGCACTTTCAGCCTGCACAGACTGGACTTGTTCCTAAAACCACTGAGGAGAGAGTATAGAAGTAAGGAAAAACTGCTGCAGAGGGGAGCTGGACTGGGCAGCAGTGGGGGGAACAGCACTAGAAAGTGATGTACCCTGGAGATACCAGCACCAGAGTACAGCTGAGAGCAGCCACAAACTCAGCAACCTGCTCACTACTGTTGAAAGCTGTTGGCATTGATGATCCAGACCTCCCCTGTCTGTGTCCAGCCTTGTCACAGAGCTGTAGGACATGGCCCTGTGCCCCTTTTCCAGCAGGTTCACTTGAGTGACTCACCTTCTTGAGTCGCAGGTCACTGAAGCCCCTTCTCCTTTCATAACTCCTCTGAGAGCTCAAACCTGAAGCTGCCCAGGGTCTGTGTGCAGATGGAGCAGGGGGAGGCTGGATAACAGCTTGCACATATGAAACCTGTGTAAGTTTTAACCGGCTTTTTGTGCTCCACAATCCAGTGTTTTCCGAGCTGTGTATCAAAATCCTCTTCTGCCTCCATCTGGCAACAATTTGTTGTGCATTTGCAGAGGTTTGTGCTGATTTTCTTTACAGTGGTCTGCTAATGAAGAGGCAGTAGGTCGTAACATAGCTCTTCTGCATTCTGGTTTATAATCACCGTCAAGTGGAGCTTGTTGTTTGTGGGGGTGGGAAGAGGAGATGTCCCAGTGCTCTTCATCTGTGATGGCAAAAATGCTAAGGCCACCAGCTTCATGAGCTCCATTTGACAGCCCAGCTGAGAGACCCCATCATTACAACACAGATGCTTGCCTCATGACACAGTGGCAGGTTTTGAGCCCAAGAATCCATGGAAGGATGGAAGGTCTTGGCAAAAGCAATTAGTCACCCCAGCACCGTTAGCTTTCTTGCTCTGCAGAGACAGACTCATGTCTGAGGTGTGCAGCAAGCTCTGTTTTTTGGGTTTTTTTGGTGGTGGTGTTTGTTAGGGCCAGGCCACATTTTGAACACTGGGAAGCCAGTGAATAGACTGTGAGGAGGAAGCGGGGTCTAGGGTCCAGTCTAAGTTGGAAATCAGTGTCACAAAAGTGCCTCTCAGATGCTGAGACAGCATCTTCGGTGACAGAGACCACAGGGGCAAAATGAATGCTTGAAAAGGCTATAACTCACAACAGTACCTGATACTGCTTTTCCTTAGGCAAAAATGGAGATAGGGGAATCCTTTAGCAATGCATAGGGGATACAGCTCCAGGGACAGCAGATGTCCTTTGCTCAAAAGAGTGTTGCTGCAGCAGAGCTCAGGATACCGAGGGGAAGGGGACAGTGTCAGTGCAAGGTGGTCTCAGCTCTTAATGCCAGATCCAAGCTGTCTAGCGTTTGCTCTCTCTCCATTCAGGAGGAAGCAGCCCAAGTTAGCCTGTTTGGTACCCTCTCAGCTACGGACTTCTGGGTCCATAAGCTGAAGTGAGTCCAGCATGAGGATCTCCTTTCCTGAACATCTGCATTGTGGCCTACACTAGTCTTTGGGTCCACTCCCACATGGTTGCCAGTAAAATGTCTAGTCGAAGCATCTGTGAATGCAGCTGGAGAGCAGAGCAGCAGGCCCCTGAGAAGGTTTCACATAGCATTCATCCTTCAACTGAAGGGGTTACAACCAAGGAAATACTTTCATCAAGCCATTTTCTGCAACAGTAAAAGCAGCATTGCAGCAGAGACCAAACCATGCCCTTTGCTTTTAAATAGTTTATTTTGTCTAAATTTTTTTTTAATTAAAAAAATCCAAGAAATGCCTGGGAAGGAAGAAGTTATTGAAAGGCCTAAAAGAAGAAAAAAAATTCTACTCCTTATCATTTCATTTTTGGTTGAAAAGTTGGCTAACTGGCTTGGTAAAAGATGATCTCATGCTGTCTAGGTAATGAGAAGTATAGCTTTCTTTTGACTAGGTGTAGAAATGCCCAAGCTTTTCTTTTTTGAAAAGCCTTCTCTTTATTTCTCCGCATGCATAACATTAATTTCTTCTTCTCCTTCTTCTCCTTTTTTTTTTTTTCCTTCCTTCTGCTCCTGGAACCTCTCTTTCTGCTCTTTAACCCTTTACCAGGTGGTAAGTGCAGTCATTCTAGTGTTTTGCTTTAAAGCACTGGCATTTCACTTTTTTTTTTTCTGTGTTAAAAAGAAAAAAAAGGCGTTTTGTTTGTCTGGATTCTGGAGTCGTTGTGCAGTGTCCTTCACTACCTAGCAACCCATTCTTAGCAGCTGATATGGTTCACATGAATTTCTCCTTACAAAGAAACCTCCCCAAACTGCAGTGTACATGGAACTGTGTGTCTTGATCTCTCTCACCTCCCCTTGTTTTGTTAAAGATGCTGTCATGATATTGCATATCACTTTTTATTTCATTTCCTTTTTTTGATATTGTGTGTATGTTTCAGTGTTTTACTGTGCATTGCCATGGAGTGAGAGATCCCCTTGGTTAGAAAGGGTGGTTAATATGTCTGTACAAAGGAGCAGTTCTCTACAGTGGTGTCTCTACAGCCAGGTCAGTTCAGTGTTGCAGCAAAACCCATCAAATTTACTGGGTCAGCACTTAAAAATAGTGAATCTGGCTCTAAAGCATGAGACTTTCACATGGCCACACTGAAAGTTTGCCTTAGAACTGTTGATTTTCACCACAGGTGCATTCAAACCCTGTTTCCAACTGTTTGGAAAACATAATGTCTAAAATCAGATCTTCCAATTTGATTGATTCACATCGTTCCTGGGGGTGGCCCTTTAAAAGCAAATAATCCTCAAACATTGCAAGCCTTGAAATAAAATTGAGATTGCTGGCAACTTTGTAGCAGTCTCTGCTGGTGCTATTTTAGCTGCAGCAGATCTTCTGGCAAAGGACTTGTGTGCTCCATGTTTTGTCCCTTGGAAACAAAGTTTTGGGATGTCTCCTTTTCAATGCACGATTTTGTCCCTCTTTGTACAAAACTGCTGGCCATGGAAAGACAGTGACAAATCAACACCTCAGCATCACTAGCTCTCATGGCTGCATTTTGTTCTTGCAATACTGAGGACTTTACTGAAGTTCTGCCCCTGAAGTCATGTTCTGAGGTGATGAGCTTTAGCATTCAGTACAAAAAGCAAACCATCAAAAAGCTGAAACCATCAGCTCTCTTCACCACTAAACAGATCTTGAAAACATGATCCCTGACAGATGCCAACCCAAAATGTCCCTGGCTATTAGCCTTACAAATGCTGTGAGCAGCTCTGCAAGCCAAGCTTGAGATTTGAGGTCCTGGTGTGTGAAAAGCTGATGTTAACCCTGCTGCTGTGCTAGTAGCACTTAGAGAGCCAAATTGGTCTGAGGTCAGGGCAGGGGTGCTGGAACCACTCGGAGAGTGACATCCATGGGTAGATACCATGGCAGCTCTGCATGGCCCACGTGTCATTGGTACCCAAGGTCTGCAGGGTCATTCCCTGCAGATGGATGACTTTGTTTCTGCAGCCCAGGGCACGTCCAATACCAGATTCCCTTGGTTCAGCCACACCAACAACCCTTACCTCATTCTGAAAGATAAATAAATGAAGCTTCCTCACATCCCAGAAGATGACTGTTTGAGAGAGGTTAAGAAATCCTGAATGAAAACACGGCCCACTAGGGAGAGAAGGCTTATGTGGGCTGCTCACAGGAGTGGTGAGCCACAGGAGTGGCTCACAGGCTCATTACTTTGCAGCTGAGATGTTTGGGACCTGGGGGCCACAAGTCAGAAACTTGAGTGTTTAAAGAGTGAGGGCAGGGCTGAGCATCCTGGGCAGCCACCCTTCACTGCCTGTGGCCCCTAGCAGCCTGCTTCTCTTGCTTGGGCTTTCACATGGCAACCTTCTTCCCACCAAGCACCCAACTCCTTGCTGTTCCTGGCCAGCACACAGTTCTCCATTATCCGTGCTTGCCCGCCTAGCCTCCTCTTGTTAGGATTTGGCTACTGCCAAGGGCTGCTGCGCTATAGCCTGTTGTCTTCTGAAGGAGGGTAGAGTCATCTTGGACATTTCAACCCATGTAATGTGATTATCTTGGATCAGTCTGCTCAGTAGAGACTGATCCAGCAGAGGAGGAAAGATCTCTATTATAAACAATGCAATTGCTCTGAGGTGAAGCCATGGAACAGCAAAATCCGCCCTATCTGCCATATAACCATCCGTCAATCTCCAAATTCCCATAAGAAGCTCCAAATCTACCTGTCTTGCCTTGAATATTCCTCTATTTTATTCTTATACACTCCAGCCACTCTGGTGCACCCTATCTCATCCATCCGTTTCTATAGACCGTCCGCAGCCATCCGTCATCTCATCTGTTCCCATACTATCCCTACCTGTTCATTCCTCTCCCTGTCCATTCTCACGTATTTGCTCCATTGCTCACTCACACGCTCATCCTCCAAACCCGTCGTAGTGATAGCTGATTGCTTTGGAGTGATTTCTCATGGTTTGCTGCATGGCTTGGAGCGGATAAAGACTGGGCTGAAGTTCTTTTCTGCCAGGGAGGACATACCAGGATTAACACCTACATATGGCTGTGAAGCAGCCTAACTGGCATCTTTTGTCATTGACAAGTGACCGATGCATCACAGTAAAGCAAAATGTCCCCATCTCTGTGGATGGCCAGATTCTCAAGGAAGTGTCTTTCTGCTAACCTCTGCAACAGCTGTTTATGCCCAGAGATCTCAGTTCGGCCAAGGACATAGGCATCACAACAGTGATCTTTAGGTGTGCAATTGCTCTTCTCAAGCAGAACCATGCCCAGACTTGAAGATTATGTCTGCATGTGATGATCTTGTTGAACTGATTCCCACTGCAGGAGAAAGTACTGCACTTACCCCTTATGGTGGCCCTTTCTAGAGGTGTTCCTGGGATTCCCCACATTCACTAAATACCATTACAGTGTATGGGAAATGTCAGGAAGTCTTTGGCACTGAAGCTGTTGATAATCAGGTACTTGTGGTTGCAGAACCATCTCTTTGCAAGTGTCCATCAGGTGAAGCTGCAAAGTCCAGCTCCCAGGATGTTTCCCTTTACCCAGCTGGTTTTAGGTGCAGGAAGTCTGGTGCCACAGTCACTTCTGGTGTTGGTTTGGAAACACTTTTAGGATCCCAGTCCATGCCTCAAATCAGCAAGCAGGAGTGTTAAGATAATAGTGACTTGAAGTTGTTTTGTTTATGAGATACCCTGGCACCCTGTCCTCAGTCCCACTGACATCCAGCCTGAATCCTGCTCCTGACAGTGAAGTACTTTAACAACCTGGTCCAACAAGATGATTTGTATAAGAAGCCATCCGGGCACTGGGATTGACTTGCAGCCTGGATGCGATACACAGGAAACCTGAAGAGGGGCCTGTAAGCCTCATAACTTGTGTCATTTTCTCCCCACTATATCCATTCACTTCTTCAAAGGCTCTTGCTGCTATCTTCATTGCTGGACCAACCCCACTGCAGCAAGAACCCTGCAGACAAAAAGACCTGTGCTATGCACTCTGGTTTCCTTGCTGAAGGCAGGGGTAGAAGTTTCCAATTCCTTCCTGTGCAAAGGAATTTGTTGCCTCAAGATTTTGGGCAACATTCTTTTCTCAGGGAGATTTGCTACTGCCTTTTCTTATATCCTATTTCAATCTCCCTTCTTTCTCTACCCATCCATTGCAGTGCTGGCCTTTTTTAACTGAATTCAAGAGCCCCTGAGTGCACAAATTCCCTTCCCTCTCCAGAGAAGCACAGTCTGCTGTGAAGCCCATATGCAGTTTGAGTAAAGATCCGCTGAAGCTGTTTGTTCCCTGAGCGCTGCCTGGCATGGTCCTGCTGCTGCGGGTCCAGGGACAGGCATCAGCCCTGTGAACGCAGAGATGGCCGAGTTTCATGCTGTGCTGCCTTGTGTCGACTGCAGCAGCCCCAGATGCAGTGGGTTTGTTGCAATGCTTTATTCTTCTTTCCCTTGATCTCTCCAGAGTGCCAGCTCATCTGAAGCTGGCACTAACAGGAGGCCTAATTAGGAATGTCAGATAGAGCTGCTCAAAGGCAGCGCCAGCTCCCTGCTTAGCCAAAGATGTCTTCACACACAGATGACAGGCGTGGGGCACACGTGAGTTAATACCAGGGCTTCGCTGTGCAGACGCTTTGCTTGAGGAGGTCATCTTCTGTGCATGTTTGGGAGCAGACATTTCTGATATCTGTCACTCTCAAGACGTTGTTTTCCTGCGTGGAATACATACCTTGTTCTGCACAGCACCTCCTATATCATGTGGTGCCCCTTCCCTGAGGCCCTGAATGCCATCCTGGCTCGCCTCTTCTTGCCTCTCCTCCCAGTGCCCTTCAAGAGGACCCTGGCCAAGGACGTTCTTGGTACCACAGTGCAAGCTCACCCAGTGTCAAGGTGCTGTTAGGATCCTTAGGGCTGCCAATGGTAGGTCATGTCCTGCTCTCCTGTCACTAGCTCCATTGACCACTCCATGCAATATCACCAAGAACTCTGTCCTTGGAGGCTTCACTACACAGTAAGAGCTGCAATACTGCATGGCACTGGAGGCACCTCTGTTTCCCCTGTGCTATCAGACTCCCTTTTCTGAACCCTGTAGTCCTCAATGACTCCTCCACACCTCTGCTCTAGTCCTCTGGAGAGGTAGGATTGCAGAGGTACACAAGAAAAAGGGGTGCTTTGATCTACACAGTCTTGAGAAGTTGACACTGCCGGCTATGGTGAGGGATGAGAGGGTGTGAAAAGGAAAAGATATAGCATGGACAGATGACAAAGGTTGGTATCAGGGATTTCAGATGACCAGGCAGCATCACCACCAAACAGTCTTAGCATGGAATCTTCCAAATCATGCAGTTCCTGTGGTGTCCACGTATTGCCCTCACCCTCCACTGTAACCAAGTCCACACAGTACCACTAGCTGGATCGTTCCTTCCCCTAATGGAAATCAAAAGTAATTTCCATTAAGGACAAGTCCTTACCCAGAGCCAACTGCCTTAAGAAGCTGACTCTGCATGCACAGAAAATTTCACACACTGCTGGCTTGGAGACACAACCCAGTGTTGCTATTTCTGTATCAAGACTAGCATGGTGACCAGAGGTGAGACTACCTGGAAGGTTTGGATCAAGAGTTGGACAGATTATTTGCAGGTGTTTTAGCTACACCATTTTAAAAGAGGTCATTTGAAATGCTCGGGTAATGTCATGAACTAATAGAGCAAAGAGCCAACAGAAAACCAAAATAGAAGACCTGATTTCAGCTCTAGGCCTTGGAGCAAATCCAAATCTCACTGTTAAATACAGATTTGTTCTTTTGAAACATTCTGAATAAAGTCAGGATTCTCCAGAAGTTTAATGAACTACTTCTTTGCTTTACAGAATATTGGCAAAAAGATGTCTTGTCAACAGTTCATAGCAAACCTGGATGGACTGAACGATGGGAAGGACTTCGCAAAGGATTTGCTGAAGGTAATATGATATAAATAGACAATTACATACTGTTATTATTACTGTACTTCCACTCAATCCTGCTGGGACGCTCAATGCCCTTGAATCTGCATTTTCCAGTGCACAGTTCTTCCTTTGGAAGATTTTTAACCCGTACTGATAGCTTGTACTAATTTGCACATCAAAGTGAATCACTGGGTGTCCGTTTCCTGTCTATATTTTACCCAGATTAGAGGCACATCTGTTCTCAGAACATACCAAGGGGTCTCCCTCCATCATGGTAATTCTGTGACCCACCAGACAACGCACAGAATAATTCACTCAAAATAAATATGGCCACATGGCACTGATACAGTTCTCAACAACATACATGCAATACAAGACTCTGTGTTTTTAGGTCCCTGTGTCCTCCAGCCAGGCTTGTGCTCATCTCCCCTTGAAGGAAGCCACATCTTACACAACTGCCAGTCTGGGCATATGCCAGGCTGCATGTACCTATGTACTTAATTAGATGAAACACTCCAGAACAACTATTTCAGTACCATGGAGGGTTGCTTTGACACCCCAAACCCCGATCTTTAACAGCAACAGCATTGGCATCCCCACCTGCCCACAGTTCCAGCCACCTGGTCAGGATTTCCCTGTATGGAAAGTGGTTGAAAGGCCCAGTGCCATATCAGGAGTGTTACCACTCCTTGAAGTAACCCAGTCCAGTTGTGTCAACCAGTTTCCAACCAGTTTCATCCTACCCCAGCCCCAGACATGGTCAGGGCCACCTGTATATTCTGCTTTCCCAACCATTAACTCCTTTCCCAATGCCCAAGGGAAGTAGTTTGAATTTTGCACTGGAGGAATCTGAAAACAAAGCAAGCTGTCTTCCAAAGGTATGTGTTCTGCTCCTGCTTCTCAGGGTAGCATTTAGACCTCTGCTACCCCTTTCCTCCAGCCAAGACACTGAAGGTGTCTTATCATCCTCCAAACTCTTCTATCATCTATATGTAGACAAGAATTTACTCAGGAGTAGGCCCAGCACCCAGAGTTAGGCACAATCACAATGAGGCTGCTGAGCAAGGCTGACTGTCATGAGCTGCTTGTGACATGTCCGGTTCAATCCCTGGCATAGTACATAGACAAAAAAGGGATAAGTAGGATAGCAGCTATCCTGCTCACTGGAAAGCAGTACCCCAGGAGAGTGAGGAAGCACACAGTGCATTGGGCAGATGGTCTCCAAAATCCAGGAGTGTCTTCAGCAAGAGACCCAGCTAATACCATCTTCTTATTTCAGACACTGTATAACTCCATCAAGAATGAGAAGCTGGAGTGGGCCATGTAAGTATATATTTTAAGCATTTGAAAGATATGTGTATATTTCAAAATAGTTGACAGTCCTTCAATCATGTTTTTAGATCCAGAAGCATTCAGAACATTTCCTTTCATGCCCTTAAGCACTGAAGGTCCTCCTGTGGGCAAGCTGGATTTGTTTACAACTCCAACACAACAGCAGCCAGGAGAGGATGGCAGTCTGTGGACCCTAGAACCACAGGCATGATGTAAAGGAAACAAAGAGTCTTTTTCTTTCTCAAAAAGAGTGGCCTTTTCATCATGCCAGAAATGCTAGCCCCTTTCCGAATCATTCTAGAGCATGCTCTTTGCTTCAGGAGCTTAAGATCTGGGATCATTTTAGTCACTGAGACCTCCCTTCTCTTCCACTTGAAGCCACAATCCTATCCATTCTTTCTGGAAAGCAAATTACAGAATCACTGAGGCTGGAAGGGACCTCTGGACATCTCCAGTCCAGGAGACTCAAAACGAGGTCAACACTGAATTCAGAGACAAGAGCTTAGGACTTTATTCAGTAGGTCTTCACAGGCTCCAAGGATAGAGATTCTGTAGCCTCTCTGGATCTTAATTATCCTCAGTGACATTTCTTTGTATATATCTATATCCAGTCAAAGCTTCTTTTGCGTTAGCTCACCCGTTTGCCAATTTATTTCTCAATCTCCTGCCATGCACCACAGCAAGGAGCCTGGTTCTGTTTTCTCAGTAACATTCTCACAGGTATTGGGAGGCTGTGATGAGGTCCCTCCGCTCCCTCAACTTCTCCCCAAAGGGTAGGTGCTCCCATTCGCTCCCATCTTGTTTTCCTGTACTGGGTGGTCCTCAACTGGTTGCAGTATCTAGATATGGTCCAGTGAGTGCAGAGTAGCAGTCCCTTCCTTCAGTTTCCTGGGTGTGCTCTTGTTCGTATAGTGCAGGATTGCTCTTGACCTTCTTTGCTGCCAGGACTCATCACCTAGCTCATGTTCAGCGTCTTGTTCACCAGGAATCCCAAGGCCTTTTCCACAGAACTGCTCCCCTGGCAGCCAATCCCAGCCTCTCCTTTTGCAGAGTACCCTTTCTTACTGCAGTAGGAAATCTTGTTCTTGCTGAATTTAATGAGATTCCTGACAGCCCAGCCCTCCAACTTTCCCAAATCCTTCTGAACGGCGGCCTTGCCCTCATGGATGTCAACCATACTTCCCAGTTTGATATCATCCACAAACCTGATGAGGTCTCCGCTTTCAGGTCAGTGATGAAGATCTTAGACGAGATAAGTCTGTTCACCTTCAGCTATATACAGGTATCTTTCTAATCTCCAGCTACCCTGAAACAGCATGATCACAGTTCTGAGAACAGCTACAATGATTACCTCTAGGATGACTTTACAAACAGTTGCACTGCATCTTTCTCAGCCTTTCTTCTCTTTCAGTATTAAAAGAGTCCGTCTCCAGTGTAGATCAGGATCCCTTGACAAGAAGGTGTTGTGCCTTCCCGGCAGCAATTCCTGTCTGCATACCTCTATGTTAGGGAAGCCCATAGGAGATCTGGGGCCTTCGAGTTTCAGCATGAACACCTCTTCTAAGTGAGGCCTCTCTTGCCAGGATTGTAGGACAGAGCAGGACTTCTTGGACTGTTAGCTCCACTGTTTGCTGTATACCTTGTCCTGGCCAGGAATGTGTCTGGAAATGGTTTGATCCTACCTGCTGGCAGGCAGGGTCAGCCTTTCCAGGCATAAGGAGACTGTCCTGCATGAGCCACATCCCAATGACAGAAATGTTTGCTGTGGGCTAGTGGTTCCTTCAGGAAGGGCCAGGGGCTGCAGTTAATAGCTTTGGAAATGGAGTCATTTTTGAGTGGGTCATGTGGCATTGATTCCGCTTTAAAAAATGATCCTACATTAAATCCTTAAGAAAGAGAGGCACCAATAACAGTTTTGTAGTGGAAATGCAGCCCTGAAGCCCTGAAGGGCTCCAACCCCAGGAGGCCAGGGCAGCCTGGGTGAGCCATCAGCGTGCGGCCCTCCGTGCGGCCCTCCGTGGCTCAGACTTGCAGGTTGCGGTCCGGCAGTCACGAGGGGGAGCTCTCTAGCTCTACAAAAGGTGCCCGGTGGGACAATTTATGTAACAGGAGTTCAGCAGAAGTGCAGCTGTGCAGTGGATGCAGGCACTGGTTATACAACTTGTGCAAGCGCACAGCTCTGGTGGGGGACACGTTCCCCTGCATGGGGGGGAAGTCTAGAGAAGAGCAGGGCACAGCTGCAGCAGGTGAGGGCAGACTGATCCCACCCAACAGCACCTCGCCCTTCACCTGCCCCCTTCTACCCTGCCCTCTCGTCTCTGTTCATCCCAGGGATCCATTTGGGACCTGGCTTGCTGCAGGGGGTCTTGCTTTTTTTCAGCCAAGTCAGTTGGAATGTGAGAAACCTTTCAGTCTCTCTGCAGCAAGACAGGTGATCCCTAACATGGAGTACCTGGTCTCTCTTCAGAGACATGACACTGAGTCGTAGCCTTGCATGAGTCAGGCAAGACCCTCTTTTGCCTGCTTGTCTCTGTCTTCTCTCAGTGGCTACCGCGCTGCTTGGCCCTCAAGGGAGACATCCTGTCCCCAAAGTCCATCTGGAATGCAGACACAGGGCCACAATCCCAGCACCAGGGACCTCTCTGGTACAAACCACGGAACTGATCTCCCACTAACTCACCAGCCAAGCACAACTTCTATATTCTGCACAAGCCCCAGGACTCCTAGGGGGGTTGAGAGCGCCTAAACCAAACTTCTGTTCCTAGAGGTTCCTCTTATTCTGACCAGTATCCAACCTGCAGATGGGGAGCAGTGGTATTTTACCTGCAGATGAGGTACTGTGGTATTTTACATCTCAGCAAGTGATTAATATGCAGCTCACTGCTCGGCTGGGTTTTGACTCCAATCTACTCTGCAACCTCGGGTGCCCAGTCATGCCATTTAGACACCAGCTCAGGCAGAAATTCCTTGTTAGCTTTCATTTCTCAATGCCCTAGAAACACTGGGGAAATATTTCCCATGCAAGTTCTAATTTCTATGTGCCAAATTAGTTTTTACTTCAAAAAGGAAGAGTCAGGCTTGGAGGAATTTCTGAACATTTCCCTGAAGTGCTCTGCCCTTGCTGCCTGGAGTCCAGGACTGGTTCATCTCGGAGGAGAAGCAGTTTCTGGAAATGACCAGCAATCTTTGCTTTCTGCTGTCTCAATCTGAAGTCAGAAATGGGGGTCAAATGCATAATTTGCTCCAGATTTTCCAGGATCAGGTGATCCATCTCCTTGATATATGCAGATTTGGTGCCTCAGAGATGTGTAGAAAATACCTGAATCTCCTTCAATATCTAGTAGGTCACAGAAGCTGCCTCAGGAGAGGTGACACCCTCTGATACCTTGTGTCTAGCAAAAGACTTCCTCCTGACTCCTCTTGGTGAATCATGTGGTTGAAGATTCGCCCTGTGAAATGTTCATAGACCTAACAGTGATGTGTCTGCAACTTATTGGTGTTCAGACTGGTGCCTATCCCTTACCTCTTTTGAGTAATGTCAGAGTGGAACTGTTGAGTCAGTTGTTTGCCATCTGTGCTCCTCCAGGTTGTTTCCAGATCACCGCCATTGGTATGCCTTGTATGTTACACTCCCTGGGTCTGCTTGCCTTTTCTTTCTCTGACCAGTCTTGTAATAAACAACTGTCTCAAAATCCAGAGCAGATTATGCCCACCATGACCTGCCCCATGTGTCCTCCACTCAATCTCTTCTCTGACTTTGTTTCCAAGTGATGAGGACGAGTTGAGGAAATCACTCTCGGAGCTGGTAGACGACAAATTTGGAGCCAGTGCAAAGAAAGTGACCAGGATTGTTGACAGCAGCAACCCCTTCCTGGACATCCCCCAGGCGCTGAATGCAGTTACCTACAAGCACGGTGTCCTCACGCGCAAAACCCATGCAGACATGGACGGGAAGAGAAGTACGTGTTAATGGGACAGGTGGAGATGGGCCATAGGCAGTACCAGAGTCTGCCTCTAACCTTCCCCCAGCTGTTCCTCTGGAGTGTCGTTTCCACTCCATCCCAGAGGATACAAGAGAGCCACCAGCATATGAGCCCCAGTTCAGAGGGAAAGAGGGGTGTCTTGCAGCATTTGCAGACTTGAATGTTTTCAGGCGTCCTCAGTCTTCCCTTCTCACTGCCAAAGAAGCTGAAAGTGTCTGCTGTCCCATTTGCTGATGACGCAGACATGGCCTTCTGCCATGGGCATAACCCTGAGCTCCACACTCTGAGCAATTGAGCAAGGATGGTTCCATAGCAGTCATCCACACCAGCCCTGGCCTTAGGGCCAACTGGTCTTAGAACCTTCAGCCTTACCTACAAATTCTGTGTGGGGCAGGGGGCAACAGGACTCCTCATAATTTTGCAGTCAGCATGTGGGATTACAGAAAGGATAACAGGAAAATGTATTTGGAAACTGTGCTAGGGAGTAGTTAATAGTGTATTACTAATCACTTGGATACCCACTGTCTCCTTGGATAACCACTGTTGCTAACAGATACGGATGGCCCATCCCCTTAAAAGACAGCCAGTTAAAAGGTCTTGAGGATCGAAGGTTACCACCGAAGACCTCCCTTGCTTCCAGCACTTTCTTAATTACCCACCCCATAAGGACCAGCTCTCTTGTCATGATGTAGATGGCTCTCCTCATCTCCTAGAGCTCCCCAGCTTCTAGCAAGCTGTCTTTCCCTGAGTCTACCAAGACAGCTTGTGTTAAGGCTCCATCCCTGGTCGAACAAAAGCTGCCTTAGCCAGGGTATGTCTGCCTCACCCCTCTGAACTAGAAATACCCAGGTTATGCCGCTGCTCCTCGAGCAGTAAGTCCAAAGAACCTGGGTTTGGAGAAGCAGACGCTACCAGCAGGTGGTTCCACAGCTACCCTCGCCTTCTCATGTCAAGTTTCGGCCTATTTGTGTTTGTGCTGTGAGGTTGCATCTCCCAACCTAGGTCTCTCTAACTGGCACAGGCAGGCTACATGCAAGTGGCAGCTTGGAGGTGTATGAGGTCTGGCATGTCTGTAGTGGGTCATGAAGAGGGATGGTCTTACCAGAAAGGTGAAGGTCAAGCAGCTCTGGCAGAAGCAGACATATATAATTAGATATTCTTCTTTTTGTAGCTCCCAGAGGAAGAAGAGGTTGGAAGAAATTTTATGCTGTGCTTAAAGGAACCATCCTTTATTTACAAAAGGTAACTACGGTGGACTGAATGATTTGCTAATTTTTGTTGTCTCCAAAGCAGTCATGCTCCTCTAAGCAGGAGTCCCATAGATGCAAGTAGAAGTGGGTCTGTCCTAAAGCATTCATGGACTTCTACAGAGTTCCTCAGGGGACCTATACACAGTGCTGGAGTGCCATCTTCTGTGGTAATGTTCATGTTAAAGTTGGTGTTTGTAGATTCACAAGAGGGCCTTACTGGAAAAAAATATGACAAAAGAAGCATTTAGGTGAACCATGCAATAGGAATCTGAAGGGGAAGAGCATAAGACTGGTGTTGTCCTGCCTGTTGTTTTATTTGCTGGCGTAAACCTGAGCCTAAGTAGCTCCATTGAGCATGGTAAGGATCTCTTCATGCTTAAATTTTGTGCATTTCCTTCAGGATCCTGCTGAGGTGGGTTCTCCATGAGCTGCCAAGTGGAGCTTTCTGAACATCTGTTCCACAGAGCTTCCTGCAACTCCCCAGGCCTGTAACCATCTATAGTCAACCCAAGAATAATTTGCAGATTTCCACAAGGGGCCAAGTCACCGCATTTATCTCTCTGCCTTTGCAGACTCTTGAGTGCTCGGAGGATTTCCTTGAGTAGTGAACGTCTACAGAGCTTGGATAGAACCTTACTTTAATGTCAGTACGAGCCAGCAAAGGATGCCTGTTTATCATGCAATCACATAACCCACTGAACTAGGTCTGAACTACTTAGTAAAACATGCTGTGCAGTAAGCCATTGAACTCACCTTGCTGAAACAGCACTGTGGGTAGATGTTACTGTGAGTTGCAGTATTATCTCCAAAGCAATGAAAGTAAACAAACAGTGGATTTATGTAAGAAAGGTACAAAGATCCTCAGGGCAGCACGAAATTATGACTCAGAGCTCATAGCACACCCCAACGATGCTTGTGTTTTGCCAGATACTATGGCACAAGTCACAAGGCCAACAAAAGTTTGGCAGTAGCTGATTGTAATTTACTGTATGGGTTGCTCTTAGCCAAGTGGTATTTTTATTGCCTTATCACCTTCCTCTGCAGCTGATGGAAGCTGCGGAGTACAGGAGAGCCCAGGTCTTCCTCAGCCTTGTTCAAGTCACTGACACTTTTTTGCACTCTGGTCTCTTGTTGCAACCTCCATTTGGCATCCAGTGAAGAACTTCCCATGCTGACTGCAGGGTTAGACACGAGGATAAAACTAACACAGAGCTACTCCCAACATTTAGTTTTGTTGACAGAACGGTTTAAAGGATTTTTTTTCAGCAAATACATTTAGGGGTAGGGGACTTGAGGTGAAGCTAAATGTATTTGGGACCAAATACACTTTCAGAACTTTCTTCGTATGTTGGTCTAAAATGTAGCTTCTTCAGGATTTTTCTTAGTGCTTGGACAG